TCAGAAAACAGAGGTGTGCGAAATAAAGAGTTTATAATAAAATTGCGTGAGGAACAGTGAACATATTTTGGAAGATGTTCATATTAGGTTATTAGATTTTTTGATGCATTCATTCCGTATTGTTAGAAATTTTGTGTAAACAGCAATATTAATGACCAAATGATTTTATGTGACTTAGACTTAGAAAATGACCTGTAAGACAAAAAAGTGAACTCAAGTTATATAAAGGCAAAAAATGGTTCTGTGAATGCGTATACATCACCAAGGTTACTAATTAAATAAACAACAAAACAGTCACACTTAATGATATCCACTATTAGAAGTTGATTGTGTGCCATTTGACAATCATCACTGAATAGTTAACCAGTGCTAGCAGTGAATGGATTTAGTCCTGCAAAGTTTGAATAGTGATTTTAAACCTAGCAAACTCAAGTCCATATTTTCCCTTGTAGTATATTCGCCGGCAGTATAGAATATATATATATATATTGAACTTCATTGTGGTTTTTTTACGATTTAAAATTCCTGAGCGTTGAATCTTAAGATTTGTTGAGATCTTTAAAAAGAATGAAAAACAATCATGAAGGCAATTTTATCACACTAAATTTAACTGATTTAACCAAGTTAAACTTACATGCCTAATGTGAATTCGATTCTGCTGAATACTGATGTGGTTACCACGCTATTCCCATACAGTTTTTAGCAATAAAATAAGTATGTGTGTGTTGCTGCTTTTTGTTGAGTTTTCTTAAATCTTATCGAAATTCATAGTTGTGTTAACATAATGTCTTCTAAATTTAAACAGCAGAATACAAAGGTAAACTGGATATAAATCATCCTTTTCAAAAGTTTGTTTCACCTCTGTGACTCTCTATTTGAAATGCCAATGTAGCGCAGTTGACTTAAGGTGAAACACTGTATTCTAATGTATAAAGCAGTGGTTTCATGTGTTAAACATCACTGAGATGTGAGGATCAAAACCACGAATAATTATTGAACCCAATTCGAAATTCGAGTTCACGGATTGGTTTGTAGAATACACTGGTTCTGCTCTCTTATCTCTGTCCAATAAAGTACACTGCTGACAAGCTTAGCTTCAACCAAGTGAGACAGGCTTGTGGGCGATACTGGTCGTTGTGAGTGATATTCAACTACTCATAACTATCCATTAGTAGTACATGACACGAAACTTATTATTGGCCATTTTTACAGCAGACTGTATAAAACGTTCTTCGTTCAACCGTTATCCTACACACGAGTTTGACTGCTATAACCTAAAAATAAATCATCTGATCACGAAAGCTCAGAAAGTGGCCTGCAGACATTCTGCAACATTTTAAAATTTATCGAGAACAAAATTCTTTACACTGGTGCAGAAATAAAGATTTGTCAGAATATAGTCAATTTCTGGTACACGATGATTTTCCTCCTATAGGATAACAATTTCAGATTTAACAGTCTACAGCAAGCACCAGTCTTTACCAATACTTAGAAAATCCATCGAGCTTGAATTAGTTACCTAAACGTTTGAAAGTACGGAATAAAATGGTAGCATCATTTATTTCGTAGGCTTCTCATCACCTGCCCAAACAATCCAAAGGCATTTAGTTTATGTTCAAAAATATTTTTTAACATACTTGCAGAGACAGTTTATTTTCAAACAGAAAATCAGTATGTGCATATAATGGTAGCAATAACAATCAATTTATCCCAAACTATAATAATCTTACACAATGGAATTTTTCGGCTTTACGTAATCAAATGAAAGAGGGGATAAAAACATTCAGTTACCAGAGCCAGGAAAGACTGATAACCACCACCTTCTGAACAATCGAATCAGGTATAATGTGCTTGATAGAGATTGCTTCCGCAAACTTAAGAAGAACCGAACTCCTTTGCTTACTGCTAATTTTTAACCACCTTGCAACGTCCACCTAATTATCCGTGTTAAGAAGATGCCTGGCAAAAGCACTGTTGAAAGCATTTGTTCCCCATCGGAAACGTAGGCTTTTTGTTACATGTTCAGAAATTTTGAAGTGTGCCCACCTTTCTGTTCTACCAATGTAACTGCTGCTGCAGACATTTTTAAATTTATTTACGAAGTTGAAGTTAAAGTAAGGGATGCGTTTCTGTAATTCTTTGACTGCACCAAAGACCATGTTATCCGAACAACTCAGCTGTAGAATAGGCTCTGTTTAGTGAAATGTTTAATCCTCTATTTATTATTCCTGCAATATTATCACTTTTAAAATCAAGTTGAGTGAAGACAGGCTTTTTCCCCACTGTGATTTATTTGCCATTAATTAATTATTCGATTTTAAGTGTCATGATTTCCCACCTCTACTGAACTTTATTAATTTTCTTCAGAACATTTGTTCAAGTCTTCGAAATTGCCGATGTATTAACAATTTTCATCAGTTCACTTGCTTTATTAATCTTGATTTTTCTAAATCCATTTTATCACCTTTATGTATTCATACATATCTGTCAGCTATATAGGTAGATGTGTGTTGCATATTTTGCACGTCTGCCTATAATAATTTTAATTCTACGCTTTATGGAGAAACTAGAAAATAATTAATTTAAAAGGAAGCTTTGCTTATGTTTTCTTTCTTTGTTCACGCTTGTGGACTAGGGGAAAAGTTATTAATTATTGTTGTTTTTATTGCTATTTTTCTATTTAATTCATGCTAGCTAAGCATTGGTAAGACTAATCAGCATGACAAGAATAACTTAAATCACCTTTACGTAAAGCGCAATGCAAAATACGAATTTCATCTATTCTTTAGCAAACAAAAAGAATATTCGTGTTCATACATTCTAAAGTGAAAGTAGCAAGATTTAAATTTGAAGTAAGAATTTTTCATATTTTTACTTGTATTGGTCTTAAAAAAAGTTAAGCTCTTATTCTAAAATCAAATTTTCTAATGTATATTTACTTCTATTAACGTTTTCAGAGAGATAAAGGAAGTTTTATTTGATATGCATTTATAGATCTATGCAACTTTACGCGTACTTACTTGGGAACTGATAATGTATTCTGAGGATGGATATTTCGCTTGTGCTGTATCTAAAGAATCCATGTGTCGTTGAATCACATCCCAGCCACTGAATGTTTGATGACCTGGCCTCGTAGACTGAAGGCCCTAGGATCGATCTTCAATGCGGTGATCAATGAGCAATGCTAAGATGTCTCAGACTAGTACAAAACAGCTGTCCAATTATCCTTAGTTTCCAATATCTCTGTAATTGATGTCAGTTTATTATCTTACTGGAAACCAGTTAAATCTACACAAAAAACACTTGGAAACTTTTCCTTATACTTTACTCAATTGTTGTTAGGATAAATGCTTCTTGAACACCTATTGTTGCAATGTATTTTTCATTCTAAGAGCCTTGAGCATTTCGTTATCATTTGGAAAAACACCGAAATGCTAACCATTTTCATAAACATAACATAATTGGACGCTTCAAAGCATTCAGCACTATGTTGACCATAGACAGTAGGAAAAAGTGAATTTCAACAGAGAAATTTCTAGAATTCGGTATGCTTTCCAAGTCAGCGATTCCATGAAATTTAACACAGTCGGTAATTATTATTTTTAAGCTGTCCAAATATCATTGCAAGTAATTATTTTTAAACTTTACGTAAAGAATTTATGAAACCATACAGGTTTGAAAGCATGTGTGCTTTTATGTGATATAGTTGGTAAAATGACCAGATATCCACCTACAAATGTTAAACTTCCAGTCTTGCTAGGATCTTGTCACAGAGAAAAATTATCCACTACACTAACTGAACATCAAAAATAAAGATTTTTGGTTAAATAATTGTCCTTCTTTAAGGTTGGACGATTTCATTATGAGATGACATCGGTTAGAGAAGAACTGGAAAACCTGGGAGTAGTGGACAGCTACAAACTAATATTTGATAATCGATCTGATGCTTACTAGCTACTGACCCTATTCAGGCAGTTAACCTGGCCTTCTAGCGGAAAGTCGTAATCAGTAGGGTACAACAGGTTGAAAATGAGGCAGTAACTCATCGAAGAAGACATTGACTAGTGGTCGCGCTATGTCATCAATTGGTAGAAGTTAGAATTCACAGGCCGTTGGATTGGGTCCCACTAGCTTAACGATCTGTGAGCTCGCCTTGTAACCAGAAGATCCTTGGTCCGAGATTCTGTGAGTGCGTACTGATGAAGTGCTCCAAACTAGGGCAAAACAGCTCTCCAGTATTCCCAGGTCTTCCAATGGTTCTCTAACCGATGTCAGCTCATGATGAAATCCTCCAACCAAGCAAACACAATCCCTACAAAACCAATACTTTTTAAAAGTGTCATCGTAAATGTAAGTAATTTATACTAAATTACTTCAGACTGAATATGATGTCAAAGCACTTCCAATCTTAATTAACATTCTAACTGGGTGGCTGGAGAAACCAACTACATTGTAAGCAACAGTTGATGAATTCATCTCGTAAAACGTATAAGTGTTCGTAACAACAGTCTGCTAAGGACTCACGCTTTTCATCAAAGTTGTTTAGATCCAGAGTTTAAGCAATCAAAGTGACAATTTTTCTCTTTTGTGCTAAAAGATAAATTGATCTAAATCAACTAGAATATATCAATTGACTTGTTGAACCTATTTATCTCCTTTAATAAATAAATACTACATGATTAAATACAGATGGGCATAAAATATTGTTGTACACGCAGCTGTACTTGATAAATTATTGTTATAATTGTTATTGTTATAATTATTACTGTTTGGTACGCAACAATTGTTCAGAGAAATAATTAGAAAGACAAACAAAATCCATGCAATATTTTTACTATTGTAAATAAAATCAGTTTAATAAATATTGATATAACACAGATAAGTGCATTTTGTAATTTCCGCCATAATTACTGTATTATTGCGTGCGCTTCATATGAGATGTGTAAATTAGTATAGGATGTGTAAAGACGAGAACACAAACTGAAATCTTTTCAGAAGTATTAATAATAAAGATAACGTTTCACTTGTTGATTAAGATGATTTCTCCAGAATTCTTGTTTGTGTTGTTTGTTTAAAGACTGGAAATTTTCAGCTGGTTCAACGTTATCCAGAAACCCACTAATATATATTCGATGAAATAGAGTGTATAGCTCGCTCCATGCCCCCAATGGCATACCCAACAGGAACAGCTCCATTTCTTTACCCGCTTTAACACCTTCCATTAGTTTTATCAAGTTGTTTAATTGTGTTGCATTCAACCTTGCAGCTATTGCGTAATCGGACACTGTCTTACTTTCTGGTTTGCATTAGTTAACATTTTCAAGAGAGAAATAAAAGTGAAGAATTTAAATAAATCCATTATTCAAGGAAATAACTAGAAGAATAGACAAAAACAAAAATCTATATGAAGCATTCTACATACTTAGCGCTGTCTACTGTAGCCTATTACTTATTCTCTTCAAATAGACAAAAGTAGTTTTGTACTTTCCAGTTTGAAACCACTTTCTACTTGTCGAAGGTAATAAAGGTTCGTCAAATATAATCTTGAAGAAGCAGTAACGTTAATAGTACTAGCTTTCATTAACATAAATCACAAGTTAAATTTGTAAAATCATATTTTAGATAACATTGGGAGTTTGAACGCTTATTGAAAGTTTTGACAACTTTGTTACTATTCTCTTCCCCTTTCTTTCAAAGGGAAATAAATAATTGCTTGAATTTGTTATCACTTTAAATTAAATCTGAATGAAAAGGTTTAAAGTTTAATGTGACATTCTGTTTGGCTGATCTTCTTGTCTGACAGATAATAAAAACAAGTATATTATATTTGCTTATGATATAAATTTCAGAAGTGGTATATTAACAAGCTAGTAATTATTGCTTTCACGAAATACACTTTTTACTGGAAGGCTATAATAATTGCGTGCTCCTCACAATACTTATCAATAGTAAGTTCGTCGATAAATAAGATGCTGACGAACAATTAAGAATAATTATGAACTAAGATGCATTAGTCCGTCACTAATTTTCAATATTTCCTTAGCTTTTGTTAGAATATAACACAAAACATTTAGGCATTAGCACGTTGCTGCATAAGTGAATAAGTGATTCCAAATCATACGTTTGCTTTATAAAGTCCCTTCGAAGCCCTTAAAGTAATGATTTTAATGTCATCTCCAATAGTTATTGTCAGTAAGAATAATTAAATGTCTGTTCAAGAGTTTCCAAGGTCAGTGAAGCTTAACTGTTGGTAAATGTGAGATTCTAGTTGCCATATAAATAATCTACTCAGAAACGATAAACAACTAACTGTTGTGACACAAACACATTTCAAAGGACATTTTACTTGATAATAAACTTGGCTTCAGTCATAATAGAAACATGGAGATTGAAATGACACGTTCACTTTAAATCGGTGTTTAGTGTCTACGGGTAAGCGGACTGTTATTGCCGTAGAGGGTGATGAGTGAATACGAAGTGAAAATTTGTAGCAAACTGTGAACCAATAGACTCCAGTTTACTGGTTCGAACATCTACCAGCTGGACTACGAGGTTCTCTCTTATAAATGTAGATATCAACAACAGTAGTCTACATTGTGTATATGTAAGTCTTAAGCTCATGATTTTCACTGGCTTCGCACAACATAATAACATGAACAGCAGGGAGATAAAACACTGCTCGAAATTTATGAAATTCCTTACCGACAAGTTTAGCTGCCAGTTCCTCCGGTGTTCCACGTCCCAAAAACCTGGGTATTAACCAACTTTGATATCGATGTATAAATCCAGCTAAATGTTCTTGTGCTGGCCTTAATTCTGACAGAGAAACAGAATATTAATTGTAATACTTTTCATTTTAAACAAAGATTATACAAATTGTAGAAGTTACAAAATCTTGGAACATAAAATGTATTCTAATCATACATGTCTAAATCTTTCAACAAATATTTTTATTTCATTCGTTTGGTGGAAGATCTTGATTTTTACAACAGAACCAACCTGGCTTCTGAATACGTTGATAGCTGACAAAAGGTAAATGAATTGTTTTTTAAATACAAAGCTAATTCGATATTAGTATGAAACTTGGGCACTGTAGGAGAGTATAACTCCATTATAGATAAGATTTTATTTTGATAAATCACACAGTGTTACACAGTAATATTAACTGATGACGTTTTGAGCAAAAACTATTACTCATAATCATATCAATTCAATCACACAGCATTTTAATTCATTTATATACATGAATGAATTTCACTCATGTGACCTGATATGATTATGAGCAATAGTTTGTGCTCAAAACGTCATCAGTTATTATTACTAAATAACGCTGTGTGATTTATCAAAATAAAATCATATATATAATGGAACAAAATTAATTTCCTGTAGTTTGGTTTGTAAGGGTTAGTTTTGTTTTTATGAGTTGATCACGGATTGATATCAGTTAGAGAACCATTGAAAATCAGAGAGTACTGGACAGCTACTGTTTAATCCTAGTTTGCGAAATCATCGGAAGTACGCACCCACTGGGATTCGAACCCAGGACCTTCCGGTTACAAGGCAAGCTCGTATACCATTCAGCCACTGGGACCCGATTCAATGGCTCATGAATTCTATCTAACTTCTACCAATTCGTGATTTTAGCGCGACCCCAACTATTGTCATTGGTGGGACATCCATCCACACACGTGACTTCTAATTGGACCTCACTGGTCACGACTTCTCACTAGAACTCCAGGAAGCTCCAACCTGTAGCAAGTCACTAGCGAGCATCAGAATAATTTTCTATAGTTTTGGTTTGTAAGGATTAGTTATGTTTTACGAGTTGATCACGGATTGATATTTGTCAGAGAACCATTGAAAATCAGGGAGTACTGGACAGCTACTGTTTAATCCTAGTTTGCGAAATCATCGGCAGTACGCACCCACTGGGATTCGAACCCAAAACCTTTCGGTTACAGGGTAAGCTGATATCAATCCGTGATCAACTCGTAAAAGTTAATTTCCATAGTGTCACTGTTTCTTTGTTGAACTTCTGGTGCTCTTAAGAGATAGGAATACTAAGATAAATAAATTTTTGCTTATAAAATACTCACGGGGACCGTGCTTCAAATAGGTGATAGATTTTAACTTATTATTTTCTATTAGAATATGAGTGCGCACATAAAGTAGGTTTGGTTTCAACATCATCGCTAATTTTATTTCTTAGGTAGCTAGACACATTTTTTAATCTGCTTTCTAGCAACAAAAATAATACAAATAAATTATTAGTCATAACTTTCATCGCTTTCGTATATTTTATTTGTTCACATCAGTAAATAAGATAACAGTGATAACAAATATTATCATTCGGCCGACTCATTATTTAAATGCAAAATATCTAAAAATACAACCTATTGTTGGCAAGTTATTTGATTCTAACTTCTTTCTAACCATAGTTCTGATGAGTCTGTGATGTAAAACAACAAATTCAAGAGTTGTAATTCGTATATGACAGCGCATAGGCAGTACTTATCTTCCACCTGTAAATAACTTTTATCGTCAAGGGAACGCTAATTTTTCCGCTATTAAACAGCTGTTATTATGGCTGGCTTGATTATCATAAAAATTCATGAGTTTTTAAAGAAAAGCCAGGCAGTCTTTCTCTAAACATAGATTCTTCTCCAGAATTGTGTGCAAAACTAAGCTAATGAGTGGAATGTAACAACATAAGTGTATAAAATTTTTGGTGTGAAGTGATTGAAGCAATATGACTTAGACGTGAATAAAACTTAAACAACGTCACTATGAAGGACGAAATATGCAGATTAATAAAATATTTGTTATTGAAACACTGAGAAAAAACAGTGATATCAGTCCGTGACCAACTCGTAAAACATAACTAATCCTTACAAACCAAACTATAGAAAATTAATCTGATGCTCGCTAGTGACTTGCTACAGGTTGGAGCTTCCTGGAGTTCTAGTGAGAAGTCGTGACCAGTGAGGTCCAATTAGAAGTCACGTGTGTGGATGGATGTCCCACCAATGACAATAGTTGGGGTCGCGCTAAAATCACGAATTGGTAGAAGTTAGATAGAATTCATGAGCCATTGAATCGGGTCCCAGTGGCTGAATGGTATACGAGCTTGCCTTGTAACCGGAAGGTCCTGGGTTCGAATCCCAGTGGGTGCGTACTTCCGATGATTTCGCAAACTAGGATTAAACAGTAGCTGTCCAGTACTCTCTGATTTTCAATGGTTCTCTAACTGATATCAATCCGTGATCAACTCATAAAAACAAAACTAACCCTTACAAACCAAACTACAGGAAATTAATTTTGTTCCATTATATATATGATTTTATTTTGATAAATCACACAGCGTTATTTAGTAATAATAACTGATGACGTTTTGAGCAAAAACTATTACTCATAATCATATCAATTCAATCACACAGCATTTTAATTCATTTATATACATGAATGAATTTCACTCATGTGACCTGATATGATTATGAGCAATAGTTTGTGCTCAAAACGTCATCAGTTATTATTACTAAATAACGCTGTGTGATTTATCAAAATAAAATCATATATATAATGGAACAAAATTAATTTCCTGTAGTTTGGTTTGTAAGGGTTAGTTTTGTTTTTATGAGTTGATCACGGATTGATATCAGTTAGAGAACCATTGAAAATCAGAGAGTACTGGACAGCTACTGTTTAATCCTAGTTTGCGAAATCATCGGAAGTACGCACCCACTGGGATTCGAACCCAGGACCTTCCGGTTACAAGGCAAGCTCGTATACCATTCAGCCACTGGGACCCGATTCAATGGCTCATGAATTCTATCTAACTTCTACCAATTCGTGATTTTAGCGCGACCCCAACTATTGTCATTGGTGGGACATCCATCCACACACGTGACTTCTAATTGGACCTCACTGGTCACGACTTCTCACTAGAACTCCAGGAAGCTCCAACCTGTAGCAAGTCACTAGCGAGCATCAGAATAATTTTCTATAGTTTTGGTTTGTAAGGATTAGTTATGTTTTACGAGTTGATCACGGATTGATATTTGTCAGAGAACCATTGAAAATCAGGGAGTACTGGACAGCTACTGTTTAATCCTAGTTTGCGAAATCATCGGCAGTACGCACCCACTGGGATTCGAACCCAAAACCTTTCGGTTACAGGGTAAGCTGATATCAATCCGTGATCAACTCGTAAAAGTTAATTTCCATAGTGTCACTGTTTCTTTGTTGAACTTCTGGTGCTCTTAAGAGATAGGAATACTAAGATAAATAAATTTTTGCTTATAAAATACTCACGGGGACCGTGCTTCAAATAGGTGATAGATTTTAACTTATTATTTTCTATTAGAATATGAGTGCGCACATAAAGTAGGTTTGGTTTCAACATCATCGCTAATTTTATTTCTTAGGTAGCTAGACACATTTTTTAATCTGCTTTCTAGCAACAAAAATAATACAAATAAATTATTAGTCATAACTTTCATCGCTTTCGTATATTTTATTTGTTCACATCAGTAAATAAGATAACAGTGATAACAAATATTATCATTCGGCCGACTCATTATTTAAATGCAAAATATCTAAAAATACAACCTATTGTTGGCAAGTTATTTGATTCTAACTTCTTTCTAACCATAGTTCTGATGAGTCTGTGATGTAAAACAACAAATTCAAGAGTTGTAATTCGTATATGACAGCGCATAGGCAGTACTTATCTTCCACCTGTAAATAACTTTTATCGTCAAGGGAACGCTAATTTTTCCGCTATTAAACAGCTGTTATTATGGCTGGCTTGATTATCATAAAAATTCATGAGTTTTTAAAGAAAAGCCAGGCAGTCTTTCTCTAAACATAGATTCTTCTCCAGAATTGTGTGCAAAACTAAGCTAATGAGTGGAATGTAACAACATAAGTGTATAAAATTTTTGGTGTGAAGTGATTGAAGCAATATGACTTAGACGTGAATAAAACTTAAACAACGTCACTATGAAGGACGAAATATGCAGATTAATAAAATATTTGTTATTGAAACACTGAGAAAAAACAGTGATATCAGTCCGTGACCAACTCGTAAAACATAACTAATCCTTACAAACCAAACTATAGAAAATTAATCTGATGCTCGCTAGTGACTTGCTACAGGTTGGAGCTTCCTGGAGTTCTAGTGAGAAGTCGTGACCAGTGAGGTCCAATTAGAAGTCACGTGTGTGGATGGATGTCCCACCAATGACAATAGTTGGGGTCGCGCTAAAATCACGAATTGGTAGAAGTTAGATAGAATTCATGAGCCATTGAATCGGGTCCCAGTGGCTGAATGGTATACGAGCTTGCCTTGTAACCGGAAGGTCCTGGGTTCGAATCCCAGTGGGTGCGTACTTCCGATGATTTCGCAAACTAGGATTAAACAGTAGCTGTCCAGTACTCTCTGATTTTCAATGGTTCTCTAACTGATATCAATCCGTGATCAACTCATAAAAGCAAAACTAACCCTTACAAACCAAACTATAGAATATATATATATAAAAACTCCACAATACCTTATCTGGCACAGCTGTTATGTGATGAGAAAACTGTTAGGCATGACACGATCAACTTACTGCGGCACTCTAACAAATAGTTCCCATTAGCTTTTGTTCTCCTTTCTTTGTTACTATTATATTGTTGCTCATATATTCTATTACAGACTAATTTTATATATCGTATCCTGTGGTGCATTGTTTAAACATGTGAATGCAATGCTGTTCTTTTTTTATTTCTTTTATTTCTCCTTTTTCTTTTCGTTATTGTTGCTTTATATTTTAAATCCTTATAAAATTTATGAGGTAATTAGATGCAATACTGTAATGAACGCTGAAAATTCCATACCTGTACCACAAATACTGTTTGGAATAAAGCTATTATTATTATATATGGTAGCATGTAAAGTATTCCTCTTAAAATCTACTGAAGTATTTGAGTTCACTTTATTCACCGTTATCAACTCTTTTCATGTTATTCTTTAAAAGCAACAAATACTTTTGACTTAGTTTTGAGAAATTCCTCGATTAGACTGCTGTATAAGTCTAAGCAAAACTAATCAACCATTAGTTGCTCCCTAGTTTTTAGTAATTCACTACTTATGTAATAAATCGAAGTAACTGAAGAAACTGATAAGGACACGTTAACTGAATATTTAGTAACTCCTAGATTGTGACACTAGGTTATCATGATAAAAACATATGTGTTACAAATCAATTAATCAATCAGCTAGTGTTGGCAAGTCATGAAAACCAAGAGCAGATGACCGCTGGTAACTGCTATACAATTTAAAAATATTCAGATCCAAGTTTCTTTGATGATAAGGTTATTGTGATGAATGAAAGTTTAATTTCTATTTATGTTTATGTACTATGAATTCAATGTGGAATTAGCATATGTAATCCGGATTAAGATATAATGCAGTATTTCAAAAATATTTCGAAACTGTTAACGTACTTGCCGTACACATTTCAGGATCTTCATCATACAGATCAGGACAATCTGGTTCACCATCACATATAAAATCGAATGATAAACATATTCTGGGTGTTCGACACGGCCAAGGTTGGCTTTCCGGACAGTCATTGCCTCGTTCTGCAACTAAACATAAAAAATAATTCATACACTACTCATGTGACAGTGAGAAACTGGAAATACCAATGAGAGAGAATGAAAACCTTTTTCAGTCAGTACAAAATCAACCAAAATTTCCTGATTTCTTGGACTGTTTGATCCATTTAATGACTGAAGATCTGAGTACCTCGTTTCTGAAAAATGGTAATACGAAATTTTCAATTTATCTGCTGTTCTAAGAACACTAAGAAAGTTTTGAAGAATCCATAATTTCACCTGCTAAAGAGGAACAACCAAAATAAAGAAGATACACTCAAGTTCCAAAAGCTGTCAAGCCTCGAAAAACTGTTTAATGAAATTCTCATTCACATGAAAACTATAGTAGCTTTAAAATCCACGTTGAGTCATATAAAAGAAAAGACGTTCAGTGAAGAGTTACTCTTTTCAATGATATTCTTAAGTTGTACAATAGCATTTATGCAGTAAATTCTCTTGGCAACAAAAGTTATATTTCCAAAGATGTGTCATCCAAAACGTACACTTTAGATAACAAATTGCGTTATAGAAAAAGCGTTAATCGGGTGGTACAAGATAAAATTAAATAAGTAAACTTAGTAACGGGATTAGGCGGGATTCGACTAAAATTGATCGAGAGTCAAATTAACAACAGTGGTTACAAGTAGTAGAAAAAGACATAGTAAATCAAGTAGTAAACTATTCAGAGATTCATTTAGTCCAGCTTCAGAAATAAAATTACAGTGGTAAGAAATAGGAAAATTCGGCTTAAATCAAAACGAAGGTACTGTGTTGATTCACCAGTAAACTTCAAGGAGTCAGCTGTTCCGATAATAAAGAGTTAACGGCTTGCTTCTCGAGAATACAAGCTAAAATGTTTCAGCTGATAACCAATTTAACTAACAGAAGTTATGGGAAGCTAATAGATGAAATTAGACCAAAAACATGTGAGTGCGAGTTAGACAAATAAGGAACATGTACACAATGTTGTGTTACACCGAAGTGTAAGGCTGCGTGGAGATTTCGAACGACAACAGAGTTCGCATAAAATGTTAACTGGTGCTAAATTACACAATACACATTCCACTTCTTTAAAACAGCAGAACTACTTGAACAAATTAGCAAAAAATATCTACGAAAAACGAATGTATTTGATTGACATCCAACTTATAACTTCCTTCTTCATAACCATCGTCTTTATTTCTTAATTTATTGCCATTCCTATTTAACTAAACACATAAAACTTTTCTTTTTATAAGTGTGTAAAGGAACGTGAAAAAAGTAATTTTTAATATGTATGTAAAAATTAATACTTTTAAGAAGATTCTAAGCATTTTCATTTTGGTGGAAGTTAAAAATATATGTTTGTAAGATTAAGAGATAAAGTCAGTGTTGTTGTGAGAAACGAGTTTTTCTCTCACAGAATTCTCAGTCAGGAAATTTTGCTTCCGTTTTCTAACCGGCACACTTTTATTCGTTTAGTTTAAAATCTCTTGATTTAACTCAGTAGTTTTTTCTACATTCAACAGTGTTTGGTCTGTTGTGATGATAATGATGAACGTAACTAATGAATACATACATATAACCCAGTAATTTAATTCTTTTGGAAGTCATGGACTCCCAAATATGATATTGAAATGTATTCATTCCTTACAACTATCCTATGCAACTTGCAGCTGCTGTAATTTAAAACCGTAGTTCTACTGTCAAGGGCTGAAATGATCGCTTAAACTCTGACATAATGAGTAGTGTTCGCAAAACAATTAATCAAAACATTTTCTTCTGTTCTAATTATAACTCTTAACTCCATAATTACAATTTTCATGACATGAAAAATGCTAATTAGATCGAACTGTGTAACTTACGTCCAGTTATTTTCCACAGACTAATGGTTTTCGCAATCTATGAAAGTTGCAGTTCAGTGTTTGATTAAAACAGAAAAGACAAAGCTGGGATTTATATTTCATCTCATTAAAGTTCTCTCGTTTGTCATAAAACCAGTGAATATTGATATTTAACTGAAACAGCTGGAGAACATGTGTTCTATTACTCAAACAATAAAGAATGACTTTATCTTAACAACATTCTGGCCTTCTCTTAATACATAGACGTTACAGTTTACAAAATTGCCATTGGCAATTATTTTTTTAATTTCTCCTGATCTTATTAAATTAATAACACGATCACAGTTTTAGCGCACACCTGCTTCGAGCCAACTTGATAAACAGTAATATATTATATCTCTTTTATCACATCATCAAACTGGAAATTCCAACTTCAAATTATTATGAACACATTGAAAAATATATAACATGAGTGGTTTTTCCTTACACTTAATACCTGCTTTTAACTTCCCCCTCTATTTTTCTACCCCACAATATCAGAAAAGCCTGTTCTTTACCATGAAGTGAAACGTTTTAAACAAGGAAGTTGATGACAACTAGGAAAAGCATTTTTTCTGATGAAAAGGAGGAAACATAACAAAGACAGTCTGACCTTATCAGATTTCTAGACAGGCATATAACGTCTTAAAAAATACAATTTTAAACTCGTCGATTCGCATTCTAAAATTACAATCCAGCGGTATCATAAGTAGGAAACTTTTCTTATAAACTTTCATTGACAAGATAACGTTAACTGAATAAGATGTGGCTCAAAGTTGGTCTGAATAATCTTCCAGTGATGACTTTCACTTTTCGTGTCACCAAACAGTTCTTAACTAGATGAAAACTTGTCTTAAATGCTCCTTTCCTTCAAATATTTTTGTCGTTGGCGTTAGTCTAGAACATGGACCAAATTATTACAAATATTCTACGCAGCAAAATAGGAATTGGCAACCGTCAAAAGCCTTCATTTAAAGTTGTCAACTCGTATTCATATATCAGGTGCGTTGGTGGTTCAGTGTTGGAACACTTGCCAACCCCGCAACTGGTTCGGCGCTCCGTCTCCAACCAACTCAACCCTTTATCTCCTTCAGCTGGTGGTATGTCCGGTAAACGGGAAAGGTTAGGCGTAAGGGTAGCAACTCCACCCCATTGAAAAAATAATGCTACCGAAACCTTAAGGCTATAGCTTAAAGCACTATGTTCCACTGGGAACTCGAAAGAATAAAATAAAAAATAAAAATTTCGTATATCAGTGTGTTAGCGCTGAAAATGTTGTCGGCAATGAAATCAATTAAAAATCTACCTCGCGGAATACAGCAATACTAGAAACATTCACCTGAGCTTCATCTTCATTACTATTTCAACATAAGTTACGCCTAATAATGTCATTCACATCACTTTAGATAACCACACCGAAAGTAAGAGGTATAAGAAATTTTACGAAAGGATTTATCCGAATTCTCTTTTCAAAATGTCAAAAACTCCTTGTGAAAATCAGAGAAAATTCTGACTTATTGATCGCAAAGGAATGAATATTCCTGAAAAACTGGACTTAGAAGAGTAGGTATACTAAATTTAAATAATGGGCTGTATCAGTTAATGTCGGTTAATGAAATCAATAATATACACATGCTAACCAATGAAGAATCCGATCAAATCTACAACTGACAAATAGCATAAAACAAACTTGAAACAACAAAACGACTTATCATTTGAAATAACATTTTTACCAGTCAGGAACGTAACAGTAGTTGAGAAGATGGCTCTCGCCTATAGGTCAGAATTCGCATACTGATGATGAATGACTTCAAAATCTTATCTGTTACCTTAAAAAGTCAACAATTTGTAAAAAAAATAATGCAAACGCTAGAATACATCTATGAACTCTTCCAAAGTAGCTTCCTGTACCGAATACCATAATACTGCACAGAGAATTAATCTTATGCTCACTGACCACTGACCCTATTCAGGCAGTTAACCTGGCCTTCTAGCGGAAAGCCGTAATCAGTAGGGTACAACAGGTTGAAAATGAGGCAGTAACTCATCGAAGAAGACATTGACTAGTGGTCGCGCTATGTCATCAATTGGTAGAAGTTAGAATTCACAGGCCGTTGGATTGGGTCCCACTAGCTTAACGATCTGTGAGCTCGCCTTGTAACCAGAAGATCCTTGGTCCGAGATTCTGTGAGTGCGTACTGATGAAGTGCTCCAAACTAGGGCAAAACAGCTGTCCAGTATTCCCAGGTCTTCCAATGGTTCTCTAACCGATGTCAGCTCATGATGAAATCCTCCAACCAAGCAAACACAATCCCTAAAAAACCAATACTTGAAAATCGCACAGAATTATCAATCATAAAAGAGAGAAGTTATTTGTGGTTACAGTAAACAAGCTTTCTTTCAAATAAACAAGAAAATGTTCCCTAGTAACAGTCTTTATGTAGAAAGTGCCGGGTGCATTTTACCTTCTTTTGCTAGTTTGAAAGTAAATACATTTACTTTTCCCAGTTTTTATTAGATTGCTAAAGCACCAGGAGTCCAGTATAAAGATCATAAAAGACTACAAGGAAATTCATCCTACCATATATAAAAAATATCTCTGAAATAGCAGCTAGAACATTAAAACCATTTGAAATAGATATAGCAAACAAGTCTGCCCAATCACTTCATTCGATATTGTGCAAACCGAAAGATCCAACAGAAAAAGAAGATAAAATTAATACCATTTACAAAATAAACTCTATGAGCTTTATAACAGACATTACATCGGTCAAAGTGGGCGTCTCCTTCGAATCAGAAAACAAGAACACAAATTAGCTGTAAAAAGCCATGATATATATTCCTTCATATAAATGCATGTAGATAATTATGGACACCAATTTGATCGGGATAATGTCGACATTTTAAACAGAGGGAACACCAAAATTGCCAGAAATTCCAAGAGGCCTGTTACTCAAACAAATCAGCAATTAAAAACCATTAATATAGACCGAATTTACCAACTGATAGAAAGTAAATCACTTGATGAGAAAATTCAAAATCCAAGTCAATAAAGAATGCTCAATACAGATGTAAATCGACTAGCAGTCATGAAGATGGCTGCCAGGAGACACAATTCTATTATTTATT